GTCACAGGCTATGTCGCTTATACCCTACTAAGGCCCAGAAACCTGTGGGTTGTTTTTTCAGGGGGGGGGGGGGGGGGGGATGACGGAATCAGACACCGCCAACATGTGCTGTAGTCAAGGGTACGACAAAGTTGATTCGGACCCTTGATAGGGTCATCGCAATCCTGTCGATGACAGAGTCTAGCAGACAGCAGACGACAGACGTAGGCATGCATACCGCGCAATATCACCGCTGTGCCTAACACACACACGCCCGACCGCGTTGTGATATGAATACAGTAGTCTCCTAGCAAATGCTGGGTGGCATGCTCTTCACAACATACACAACAGGCCGCGTGATGTGGATATTCTCCTAGAAAATGCTGGTGACATGTTCTTCTCCACATTATTTGCGATCACGATATTCTCTGGCTTGGTCCTGACGGACGAAACAACCGGAATTTCTGCTGCCATCACTCTGAACACCTGCAATACACTACTGTGAGCGTTTGTTTGTCGATACAGAGCCCCCACGGGGGGTGACTCACCTGCGTCTCATGGTTGGCATGCCGAAAACTACAACGCTATCATCATGTTGCGTTGTCTGCGAAACTCAGCAACGGTCCGCATCTATAGATCTCTGTGTCTATTGTCTTCGCTCTTCCTCTCTTGTATTCAAGTCAATACGAGTGAGAGAAACCACCCCATCCGCTGTCACAAGCAGGATCAGCTAGCTCGGGCCAGCACCGGAAGCTGTTGTTGTGTTCGGCACCGAGCCACTACAGTGACGGTAACGAGGAGTTGCAGATGCCAACCAAGCGCTGCTGGTATGATCCAACGCCGCAGCCTGTTGTTTCGATCACTCTCGTGCACACAATCACAGCAGCTAGGGACAGCAAAGGCCGACTACTGTACCGAGGTACTCACCGGGATAAGCGTAGAGCACTTCTAGCTTGCTTTGCAGGGCAGGGTCCAACGAGATAATGCGTGCGTCGTTCAAGACCGCGCGATAGCAGCTCCCAAGGTTGAGCAGCAGAGGCGCCAAGACGATCGCGGCGGCTGTCAGCAGAAACATGTCCATCGTGGCGCTGTACACTGGGCTTTGTTGAGAATAGGTTAGATCTATGGTGTTGTAGGTGGAGAGAAGCAGAGGAGATCAGCGAAAGAGGAGCCTGGGGGTGTGGTTGTCTTATGCGAGTCTGGTGCAGACGTGCGGCAGCAGCAGCAGCAGCAGCAGCATCAATATCATCATGAATCGTACGCGGAGCAATTTCCCCATGCCCGTAGCCCCGCATCAAATCACCCATCGGCCCGTTCTTGGAAACTTCCCGATCAACAGCTGCCCACACTGCCTGTACTGTATGTGCCCCAGAGTACACTCCTGACAGTCCCGCCAATCCAAAAAGAGGGTGTGTGGGAAACCGTCGAATGTTCTCGAAAATATTGACGCGAACCGATCAGTTTTGTGGTACAATGATGAGTGGCTTTCCTCCGCCATAAGGACGACATCGATCACCTTACGGAAACAGCTCTTGTTGTTTTGGGCCTATTGTTCGCTAGGCGCAAGTTCCGGAACTTCCAACGGCATCTGTACACAGCAGATAGATGTGACGATTGACTGGATAGGAAATCGAAACCCGAGCAGCTCGTACGTGCAGCGTCTCGAGGCCAACACAGGAGCAATAATAATTTTTATGCTGGCCGATATGAGCGTACGCGTCGGTGTTGTGCTGAACCGCGGTCTGTAGGAACAAGCTGGGAAAAATTTACTACAGCCACACAGGCAGGGCCCCTTCGTCCGTGGTACGTTTGTGCGCAATTACACGTTGCTCGGTGTGCGACAGACGCCAGCAGCGTGATATGGAGTCGGCAGAACGATACCTTCCGAGACCGTCACGGTCACCCTCTCTGCCACGAGCAACGACCACGAGGCCAATAAAAAGGCAACGAAGACGGATCGCACTACTTGCTGAGTTCGCCGCCGCACCACCGAGTTTCCTCCTGCAGGTAATCGTCGTCGCTTCAGCGATGTCGTCGGCGCTTGCTCAGCTATCCAGCGACGCAGAACTAAGCGTTGGGTCTGTACAGGATGCCTTGACTTGTAACGTGACGCTGTACGACCAGTGGTACGACTCTCCTTACTCCGGCGCGCTCCTGGAGGACCTGGTCGACTTTTGGATATTTCCGGACGCTGAGCTCACGAATGGCCAGGTATTGACTATTGTACAGTTATTGTAGCGCCCCGAGTTTAAGAACCGTCAAGCTTGAGGCTCTTTTTCATATGTCGTCACCACCGTTGAGCGTAGGTCATCCTATAGAGTGTAATGTAGGATCCACGGCTGGTTGCTGCGGTTGGTTGGTATGTTTCTTGGTCGATTTTTCCGTTTATCGCCAAAATCTGAGCCTTATTTTCGTAAACGTTATTGTTTCATTATCAATCGCGGATGCCAACTCTACAAATAGAGGCTATCTTAGCACCGCACGCAGTTGTACGGCCCTTCTACCTCGATGAGTTACTATTGACGGGGTGTGTTGCTGTGCATGTGGGGGATCCGAGAATTATCAGCACTGCGCAGTCGAAAGAAACAAAATGAGGCGGCTTGAGCCTTTTTTTTCTCATTTTGGTAGTGTCCCTACGGCCGTGACATTATTGAAACGTATGTTCCGTGAACACCTGCTACTAGTGCCAAACCGACATCCACGTGTGTTTTCGTGAACACCTACCACATGCTAAACCGAGAGATGCGGAGCGATCATCAACCCTAAGTTCAATCATGCCAAGGCTATGACGTAATCGACAAAGCTGCGGTCTGTTTGGAAATTTTCAATGCAGGCGTTGGAGGTGGTTTCGTCAACCTGCCGGGTCATGATGGATACGCTCCGCCTCGACAGAGCGGGGAGAAACGGACCCGTGCAGGACAAGTATATCTACGACGTCATGTGCGCGAACGAGTGCACGCTAAGCGACTCGATTCGGGAAGAGGCGATGGAACTGTCCAGTTGTACCTGCTTGGAGTTGTCGACTCAGCCTTCGAATCCGATCTACCACACGGAAGGAGACTGGTGTGTGGAGAATTCAGGGAGGTAAGACGAATAGCAATGTATCGGCAAGGGCAACGCACGCCTGGGCATGACGTGAAAAGGGGAGAGCATCACCCTCACAACCCTTCTCCAGAGCGGGAAAAAATACCGTGGTGGATATGTAGCGGTTTGGGAGATGACGCATTGCAAAAGTAGTTGTGTACTACGTACCGCAAGGATGCGAATAAGGATGCGAAACATGGCACGGTTCGGAAAGATGGCACCGGGGTGCGAAAAAAAACAAGAGATGCATGATTTGGTCGTATGTCCGCCCCGGTGTAAGAAAGCGGAAGATGGTACGGGTAGGAGAGATGGCACTGGGGTGTGAAGAAGCAAAAAACAAGAACGGCATAACATAATCTTTTTTCCACCCCGGGGTCGGAGTGATGCACCCGGTGCCATCTCTCCGACCCCAAATCCAAGATTGAACGCTTGGCAAGTGGGCCCAGGCCACGTTTTGAGCTGCTTCGCTATACTGAGGAACCTGGGCACAATTTACATGCTGCGCCTGTTGTGTGTGTTTCCTGCACCGATCGATACATCATGCTTCTGCTTGCACACTGGTACCGGTATGCCTACTACTGTGGTGGTATGGAGCACTACCACCGGGATAGTGCGAGAGATGGCACCGGGGTGTCTTGAAGAAGCTAGATGAAAGGTTCTTTGAATTTCCGCACCGGGGTCGGAGAGATGGCACTGGGGTCGAAGAGATGGCACCGGGGTGCGAACGAAAAAGAAGAAAAAAAAATGAAAATTCACCCTGTGACATCTCCCCCACTTACAGAATTCTTCATGGCCAAGGTCTTGAGTGGGAGCACCACCAGCCAGTCATATGTATGTTGACGAAACAACCTGTCACATGCATATGGTGGGAAAATATGATACAGGGTCGGGGGGCACACGATGTTCGCGCGTATGCTGCTGATTCTTAGTCAGTGCAAGCTTGCGTTCGGGCTCCTGCAGCTTCGTGTTGGAACAGCTTCCTCATTGGTGCTGCAATAGCCCGCCCCTCTGTCCTCATTTTGATTGAAAGGGTGGGTGTACGAGAGAGAGAGAGAGAGAGAGAGAGAGAGAGAGAGAGAGAGAGAGAGAGAGACCTATCTGGGTGAAAGCAAAACTTGAACAAAAGCTTGTTCGCCCAGCCAGTGAAAGAACGTAGTCAACCGACCCCGAAACGACACCCTGGTCAATCTTCCCGTCCGTCCCGCGTCCCTGCTGCATATGAATGAACGTGACCAACAACAGGATACTTTGTGAGACGTTTGGCCAGTGCGGGGCATGGAACTGTCGCATCAGCGACTTCATGTGCCCCAGGTTAGAGAACACATCAGACGTTGATAAACAAGCCAAACATTCGTGCTATTCCATACTCTGAACCACGGCAATAAATAGAAGTTTCTCAGGCTCTTTCAAGTAGTCTACCCCTTGAATTTTGATGGCCGCAGAAATTCACCACTACATCGACTTCAAAATCATCACACAGGATGCATGTAGTTCGCCGTTCAATTCTTCTCAAGAAATATCATACAGATGGTTCGACCTGTGGTGTTTGTTCGGAGTGTTTTCTTCTCTTGATACCGTCCAACAAACAACTGGGACCTATGCTAGCCAACATGCAAGTGTTGGCTACCGCTGCTCGCTTGGGTGGTAATGGGAGTGGTATGATGCCTTTCTCTGTGCTTTGGTGCGTTGTTGTCCGTTCTGCAATATGAATAGATTAATTCGTCGCAATCACTCGTTGTCGTGTATGTGCCTCAGGTACGAATACAACAAGCAGACGGTGCCCCATCGTGGGAAAGGGGACTGCAGCGGGGCGAAGAGAGCGGGGGGGAGGGGGTCCCGGGAGTATGCCACCACCGTCATACCCCCTTTGTCGGTAGCAGTGTTCATTGCCGCCGCGGTCTCTAGATTTGGGTTGTAACCCGTGGTGAGTGTCACCTTCGTGTCGATCTCACCACTGTCAAGTACCATGGCACATTTTTGTCCGGGGATCATAGCGTAGCAAAGATTATCGTTGTTGAGAGTGTGCAGAGTGACGTAGTATCACCGCAGGGGGGTGCATTCTGCGGGGACCCCGTGCGTCGGGGCTCTTCAGCCGAGAAACAGAACAAAGGAAAAGACTGACGGAAGGTAGGACTACCTCCTACGTGACCATACTGAAGGCTTTTGACCGAAAGAAAGATTGAGAGCGGGAAAAGATCGTATCGGGGGGGTTAAGTCCTTCAACCTGTACCGGAGTGCGCGAGAGGCGCATACGGATAAAGTTTAAGTTAGTGCCACCGCTGGGGACTGGTGGCCACACGTTGTTCGGAGATAGACAACGGAGGACGTCCTTTCTGTGGGCCCCCTGATCGAACATTTGTTATCTCCCAAGCGAAGAACATTGCGTTGGGTACAATACACGATGGGGACAATGCTGCTGACGTTCTGTTAAAGCCCCTAAAGCCCACAGAAGGGTGGGGAAACAGAGTGCACGGATCTTGATAAGCATATGATTGCACCAGTCAGTGTTGATACGTGAGTGAGGATAGTGGAGGACGCAGCACACGAAAAAATTGCCATTGCGAGAACGTCCGTCGAGAATGTCTTGCTTGGTATACACCTCTCCCCCGCTGCCAGAGGAGGCTCAAATAGCCCGCGTGTTGGAGTAAACGGCACAAATGCTGTGAGCGCTGACTGGAAATGAAGACAAGAAAAAAGAAAACGACGGCCGAGGCCTTGAAATTCAGGACCGTATTGCGGTAATAATGAATACAATGGGGTGTGGAGACGACCTTCATAAAGGTACAATCTCTCCAACGTCTGTCGAGAACGATTCCCTCTTTTCGCAATGGCGTCGACGAAGAGACGTCAGAGTGTCTGGTCTGTCTCCACATGGGGGGGGGCTGTTTGTTCAGTGCCGGTTATGTGCCCAGAGAATTTACCGGCACTACACCGGACACCGCCACAATTAACACAGGAGGAGAGGACACTCGTGCCAGAGTTTTTGGCGGGAACAATATCGGGCACCGGAACAGAACTAAACAGCCCCTCCCCCACCGCAGGAGTTACCGCGCCCTGCCTTTCCCCCCTGGTCTTCAATAGAGCTGTGGTTTCACACCATCGCGAAACAATTGAGAGGGGGCAAGCGCGCAACTCTCGATAACGCATGCCGACGTCGTTCGACCGTAGACCACACAGCCCCCGATACCGCTGGATGGTGTGGATTGCTTGGGGTTTTGGTCGACCGCGCTTGGAGGGGGGTCAGAATCGTGGTGAAACAGGGGCGAAAATGTCTCGGCGTGATCGACAAAAAAAGGTGTTTACTAGCGACGCGCAACAATCTGAACAACACCAACAAACCCTGAAACTGAAAAATGCAGCAAAAACGAAGTTGGTTAATCGTGCGAGATATTGAAGAGCTTCTTTCGAGATGGTGGGACTGACAGCACCCATTTTGGACAAGCACAAAGCAAACATACTACTCTTTTCAGCTTCCTTTGCTGCGCTACACACACAGCAGCAGCCCTTTCCTATGTACCAACAACCACTCAATCATCGCGTGTGAAACGTTCCCTTTCTTGAGCAGCTCGGAGCGGAGCAGGGGGGGTATCAAGTTCCGGAAACGCATCATCAAAAACAACCAAACACCACACGCGATGACAACAAACAAGCAACCACCACACGAAACGCCAGCAACACAACGAGAGCTCATATAAAACAAGGGGAGAGATGCCAATGGACACCGCCCCCGCCCCTGGTCCAACAGGTCCTCTTGGACAAGCAAGAACGACAAGCACCGAACGAGACTCGCGTATGCACTCCGTCGGCATAGGCCTTGCTCCGCGGGCGTGTTCTTCCGCCAACACCACAAGAAAAAAAAAAAAACGGAACAACATACCATACTATACCTCGGGACGTGACCACGGGACAGACCGTTCCTTCCCAAGGAGTTATCATGTTAATTGTTGATGCCACGCACAGCCTCTATAAGAGCCGGACATTGTCTAACCTACCCCTTCTATGACGTAGATACCCCACGCCGTTATCCCACGGCACGTACGGCTTCGCAATACCCCCCCCCCCCCCCCCCCCAACTCCTTGGAACGCTAAACCAAGCACCGAAAGCTGCCTCCGCCGCTGCTGCTGCTGCTGCTGCTGCTGCTGCCACGAAATATGCTCTTCTGGCCAGGAAAGGATGATCCCAATATCTCGAGGGAGAAGGGGGAGCACGCTACTCAGAGAAGGAGACTCAACCACACACAGATTTTCTCAACTTACAAGGACAGACGATATGATACACGAACATAGAGGATGAAAAAATGGGACAACCGAAACACGAAAACCGGCCCTTTTTGTTGATCCAGACGAAGTGTACACGTGTGTCTAGGTGAAAGAAAGTAAAAGGACTACAGCCGTAATATCATCGGGGGACTTCATCCAAAACAAAAAAACAAAGCAAAACAGGTGGACTACGACTTGTGGCCCATCTCTCTCTCTCTCTCCCTCTTCATGCGCAGGCCGATCGACAACAAAAAGCAGCACATGCAGAGAACATCGTAGGCCGATAGGAAAAGGCCACGGGGTCACGGTCCGCGTAAAAAAACAACACCACTCCAGGACTACAGCTAGAGGATGGGGATGACGGAAGTCGCCAAAGACACACGAAGTGACTCCACACAAACAAAAAATACACGGTTGTGAGAGAGGGGGGAGAAAAAAAGAAGAGAAAAAAACACGCGCGCTACAGGCGAACACGCTAGAAGAATAGCACTGATGAAAATATTGAACAGGAACCGCGCGGTCACTACTCGACGTCCGCAACAACGGCCCATCCACCGTACCGTCTCGCGGCATCTACGACATAAAATCGATAGCCAAGATACCAGCAATGGCAGCGCAGCTTACAAGGAGCCGCAGCCGCCGCAGCCGCAGGGGGGTGTTCGCATCCCCCTCTTCACAGAAATCCAAAATCCGGGGGGGGCAGACAAGGAATCAGCGGTGCCCCCAGCATGGAGGCGACAATAAATCCACCCAACTAGACAACAGAGAGACAAAAAACACAGCACCGGAGCTCACACCTCGACACAACTCCTGGAATGATGACACCCGGAGCGCCCAAGCCGCAAATCCATCCTGTGTCCGCCCACGCCGCTATTCACACAACGCTCTCCCGCCTATCCCCCTGGCTACCATTAGCCTCCCTCTGACTCCTCCATCCATCTCCGCTAACAAATCTCGACCGTTGGCACTGCCGGGGTCGTGTCACTTACCCCTCTCTCTGCTGCGTGATCGTTTCTCCCTCCGCGTAGCAGCACGGGGCTCGCTTTCGCGCAAAGGATGTACGAATCTTGCTATATCTTGGTCTGTTCCAAGGCCGCATCGCCAACAAAAACCACAGGGTTCGCAAAGCACACATACGGCCTTGTCGCGGAAGGTGGCTCGTACAGCGGTCGCTGCGATGTCGGCGTAAGGGGGCAACCTAAAAGCTCTCCCATCGAGCTCACTCTCTCTCCCTAATGTCGGGCTAGTTATCCCTCACCAATCAACCACCACCCACAAACAAGCCGTAAAACATAACCTTTTGACGTGGAATGGACACATCAACGCCAACGTTAACACTGTCTTTTCCGCTCGTCCAATCCGCGTGCTCAGGCCTCTCTCGCAAGCCATTGCAACTCAACAACCTCTTTCGGTTACTATTTTGACAAAATGGAAGGTGTCTCATTTTGACGACAATACACGCGTTACATTTTGACGAAGCAGAAGGGGGTCGGCACCGCGCGGCGGAGCAGGGGGGGGGGGCGTACTCATTTGTTGCTTGCCGTAGTCATTTGACCATTGACCACGCGTCCCTTTCGAGACGGAGCAAGGGGGGGGGGGGACCAAACCAAAAATGTTCCGGGAACCCCCAACAAGTCTTTGCTGCCAACGACAGCGCAGGCGAAAATCTACCGGCGTCAACATATACTACGACTGACCTCAGTTATCCTAAACCGAACCAGTCTTGGAGGAACACAGAGGCTTGGGACAGCAGTCTTGGGACCGATCGATCGAAAAAAAAAAAAAAAAGCTTCGTACCTGATCCGTGGATGTTGATTTCACGAACCGAAAACAACGAGCAACTACACCAAGCGTTGAAAACGTCATTCTATTAGTACCCTCCCCGCCGCCGCCGCCCCCGCACGCTGACGAAAGCTCAACGAAAGAAGCAAAGCTCCGCGAGTACAGCTACTCGCCCCCACGAATTGCCTTGAAGGCAGCAACCAGCCAGCAATGTCGCGAGAAGACGTTCTTTCGGAGACGGCACCGGTCAGAACAAGCAGCAATGACCGCCGTCGCTCACTGCAGCCGTGCATCATCCCTCCGACGGCGCTGCCCACGCGGGGGGGGGACCCCTTACGGTTCCTAGCTTCGCTGCCCCCGCGAGCTCCCCTGTCCAGCGTTAGAGAGAGCATCGACGCCTTTGACGTTGGCCAAACCGTACATGCGTGTCATCCGTTCCGGTTGTCGTTAAAGCACTACTTACGCGGTGAAAAACAAAATACCACAACACGACAACAAGTGCTGCCATCGGACCGCCTTCTCGACGATTTCATCGTTTACCTACAACATGGAGAGGGGAGGTTCGTATAACGGCAGAGGAGGGTCCCTGTCTAGTGCAGGTGTGCCCAGAAAATTCAACGGCGCTATACCGTACCGGCGCTATACCGTACCGGCACTATTCAAGAGTACTGACAATGCCTTGGAAATTCAGTGTGCGCCCGCCGAAAACATCGGCACTATACCAAGCATTGGCACTATTCAACCGGCACGAAACAGGGACTCCCTAAGCTTCGTACTCCCTACCAAAACAAAGCACGATTCCTCGCGAAGGGTAGAAGAATACCTTGTCTCGGCTGGAGACTTACAGAATCCCCATACATTGTGTTGAGCTAGTGGTATGGGTAAGGGTGGTGTGCGTCTCAAGGTAGAGTTTGGACCTGTGGAGATACTCTCCTCCATGCAACCAAGAACCGACACTAAAAAAATAAGAAAGAGGAAAGAAAAAATCAACATACAGGTACGTGCAGCAGGCAAACAAACGCGTGCGCTCTTGTGTCTCGTGTTTCATGCCCCATTCAGTCTACATAGACATCACGGCAGTACTTGTAGCGACAACGGCCAGAAACAACAGCACCACCACTACCACAAACGCACCTCGAGCTATCCCTTTCCAACACCGCCGCCGCCGGGTGGCGGTGGTGGTGGCGACCTGCTGCTCCTGCTGCTGCTGCTGTCACAGCTGCTGCTGCTACTGCTGCCGCCGCCACCGGCATCCGACACTCCACGCTCCTGCTCCTGCGACGACTCGCGCTCCTTGTGACCTCCCGACGCCCTCGTTGCCGCCGTCGTCGATGGCTCGCCCACCTTGCGGGCGAAAAAAAAAAAAAAAAGCGACGGTTTTGGTTACGACGGCGACGTAAACGCCGACGAGGGCCCGGGCGACGAGAGGGGACCGCCTTCACGAGGAATATGTATGTCAAATCTATGAAACAGAGAGGGGGGGGGTTGTGTCCCTAACCCTAACCCTAACCCCAGCCCGTACCCCCTACGAAAACCAAGCTAAAGCAGATGCTCTCGCGAAGGCTACTGGACGAGAAGGGGGGGGGGAAGGGCTACGCAGTGACGACCAGCGTGACGACCAGCATTCCTTTCATCATCTGGACCGCCTTCGCGCGAAACTGAGTTAGATGAGGAAATAATAGAACAGGGAGGGGGTACGCAGACCCTATTCCCCTAACTCTTAACCCTGACCCAACTTCCCCCCGATTGCATGCTTTTATCCAGCATGTTAACTGAATAGGAAAACCCTGCCAAGGCTTGTCCTGCACGATCTCCCCCACCTCAACACCGCCGGCTGCGGCAACGAGCCCCTCTTCCGCCCGCGCCGCCGGTGGTCTCTCGCAAGACCGCAGCGCCGACGGCGATGATCTTGAAGGCGTTCTCCGCCCCAGCCCCAGACACGACATGAACGGCAAGCGAAACTGAGAAGGCCGCCACACCGACAGCGAGAGGGAACGAAAATGTGCGAGGCATTTAACAGGCAGAGGCAAACAGCCCAATCGACGACAGCAAAGGAGGGCGAGGGGGGGGGGTGTACTCATAGTCGTGCATGCCGTAGTCGTTAGATCATTGACCTCGCATCCCTACAAAGCCGGGACGGAGCACGCCGGGTTCTCACCGGACCAGGCTCTCACATCACCAAGCGCGAAGCGCCGTGAGGTATTTGGCGAGTCGCATGAAGGGTGAGCTGCATCCTGCTAAGGGTGTTCGGCACCTTGTGCTTACTTCCTTGCGTACGGATGACAGCTACGTATGACTTAACTTATTTTCTGGTGCTTTCACTTCCAGAGACAGTTGTAAGCGCTGTGTAACTGCCTCGAGGAAGCTTGACCATTTTAACACAACGTGGTGCGATCATCCCCGTTGCGCGGAGTGAGGATTCTCCACCCCGCACAACATGATCTACTCGACCACCATTATGGTTACCGCCAAAAAAAAAACGAGGTAAAAAAGAAAAAAAAGGTAACCTGGTTGCCGAGTTTACGAAGTGAATTGGCTTGTTTTACAACGTCGTTGCCAAGCGACGAAAACCCAACCCCGATGGCAAACACCGGGGGGGGCGGCTTGTTTCACAACGTCGTTGGCAAGCGACGAAAATCGGGCGAGGGCGGGGGGGGGGGGGGGCAGAACACCACGTACCGAAACACTAGCAGAACAACTTGATGAATATACTTCGTTGCTCATACTCTAGGGGGGGGGGAACACTGAACACCATAAAGCGGACCCTTCCAACCAAGGCCCAATGGGGCATGGCTGTTCACGAGTGCATGAAAGGCCATATACCGGCCCTCTAGCCCTTCTGCGGGAAGGCGAAAAACGTTGCAGTAAAGGGAAACGAGTACCCACAAGACCCACCATCAGAAACAGCAGTGTGACATCGGGAAGGAAGAGTCCGCAAGAATGCCATGCACACGGCATGGGCCCCCGCCGCCTCTCTTTTTAATGATCGCATTTCCGTACAATACATTACTTCAGATACCACACCCCCGGTACTAATATAGTTTGAATTACACCTCGATTGAACAGGATGAGCGGCAGCACCGAAATCAGCGGCGTGGAAGCCGTCTGATCGAGAGCTTTCCGATAGCGTATCGTTTCATTCCTGCATCCTCTTCGTCGCGAATAAATCGAGATTTTAAAAATCGGTCCCGGGGGTGTGCTATCCTACGTCATGGTACCTACGGTACAACCAGCGCTCACAGCATCTCTGCCGGGTAGAGGCCCAATCCGTGGTCACACACCAGTCTCTTTTGACCGATCCAAGAATATGGAGATCCCAGGACACGACCTACAGCACGCCCACGCACTGCAGTTCGCCTACATGGCACCCACCCAGTACATGTGTCGTACAGGCGCGTGCTTAACTCTGGTCTTTGATAGCAACGGCAGCAGCATGCTTCATCCCTCTCCGCCTACTACCCCACCACCTCGTGAAGCCACATGAGGTGCACCTGAATAAAAACACTACTGCTGTAGCAACACAAGCTGGCAGCGCCTTCTGTTGTCCTACTCCACACAGCAGCAGCACCGATTCATCATAAAAGGTACCATGTGCCACAACACATACAAAACGACATACACACACACCGCGTTACCCTTAGGAAGTGCTTATTATCCCGCTACTAGGCTGGCGCCTCTTTATTGACCAGGGCGACGTCGAACCCCCCCCCCCCCACCTATCACGCCCACCTTCGGATGCCGTCCGCGGCGCCCCTTCCCTTCGGTCCCCAGCCCCACTCCCGAAAAAGCCCCCCCAAGGCTAAACCCGGAGGAACCACTCCGCAAGCTGTCGGAGCGCCCACCTCCCCCACTAACGTCAACGCCAGAAATCCCTCTCGAGCACAACGGCTGCAGCGGGTGGCCTTGCCGGTCTCGCCTCCTGTCGGATACGCCAGTGGCCGTTAAAACCTGTCCGAGGACGTTTCAATGTTGGGAGGGGGCGGACGGGCGGTTTGGTTACGCGAGGCGAGGTGATCGGTGGAGGAGGAGGAGGAGGAGGAGGAGGCAGTGGCGGCAAAGAGGCAGCCTCGACAGAGCGCAAGTCAACAAACGTTGTCTTCCCCGACTCCCCGCCCCATGCCGCGTTTGCAACAACACCGGCGTCAGCAACACGCACAGGATACGCGCGCAAAAAGAGTAAGTTTACTATGCATTAGGTAGGGGGGGCACCCAGACCCTCACCCTAACCCCAACTTTTGAGATTCTATATACTTTCATCCAAAAGGTTTGCTTACCGACGAAACCCGCGTAGACTACGGTACGCACCTCGCCATCTTCCGACGTCGCCGACTGCTGCGGCTGCAACGCACCCTCCAAGGACGGGAGGATCTTGTGCCACAAGAAGAAGTGGTGTCCGCGGTGCACCGACCACGACGTCGGGAACCGGTCGGAGAGCGAGCGGTTCACCTCCACCTGAAACGTTGAGGTTCGGACGAAACGGCAAGGGTACGGTTCGGACGGAACGGTGGCGGCGGTTCAAGACACGATTGGAGACGCAGAAGGTGCTCTCCCTCGAATTCCACACAATCTCTACGAATTCCTAGAAAGCCCAAGATCGCGCAGTAAAACGTCCACCCAACGAGATTGGAGTGCCATCACTGCCTCTTGGTCCATGCTTCCGATTTCACCAGAGCGACACAACAGCAGCAACACCAAGAACAGCAGCAACAACAACAGAAACAGCAACAACGGCAACAACAACACACAAACCTGTCTATAAGGGAAGGGCAGGCTACTCCACATCTTCCTGAGGTCGAGGTACGTCAGGGCGTGCGAGCCCTTTCGCATCCCGGTCAAAAACCGCGACAGCTGCGGGTGTACGTCCGACGAAACGTCGGTCTCCAACAGCACCAGGTCCGCCTGTCGGTAAGGGGGGCCCGTGGTAAGAAAGGTAACCCCCCCGCCCGGTGAACATGTACGAATTGGTCCGCAAAAGCAGGAGAGATGTGTGAGAGGGACAAGCATTAAAAAAAAAAAAACATGCGTACGTAACAAGACACCGAACACAGCCACCACAAGATGGAGAGGTAGATGGCGGGAAAGAGATAAGAGACCGACAAATACACTCACAAAGAGAGACAGACAGACAGAGGAACCGACGGAGGAAGCGTCAGAAACAAGACACCCCGCATAGGCCCAACACAGAACCAGCCACAACAAACCTTTCACCCACAACAGGAGTGGTCCCGATAAAGTATCATTGCATCTCCCGACTAGCGCGTTTCCCGATAGATCGTGGTGAAAATTCCTTGGCACAACATCGAAATCACAAAAATTCAGGACTTTCCCCCAATAGCACGGGTTCCGATATAACGCGGCGACTTTTGTCTGTCACTACACCGCGATATATCGGTACCGCTACTGCTGTGAGCAAACCAACGTTCCCAAAGCAACAACCCAAATTAACCTCATTTCACTTCTGAGTCCCTCACCTGCGCAAGGTTGGTCACGTCGAACAAATTCCCGCACGCAAACTCCAACGTTCTCCCCGGGGGGCCCCGGCACAAATGCTCCCACCCTGCACCCCCTTCCCGCCAACCACCGCCCTCAGCAAGAGAGGGCTGCTCCTGCTGCTGCTGCTGCTGCTGCTCGTGGTCTTGGTCTTGGGCGAGCGTCTCGATCGAAATAAACTGTCCCGGGATGTGCTCCTTTATCGTGTACGCTCCGGGCTGCAACTCCATCAGCGCAAACAGGGCCTGCGGGGGGTAGGCAGCACGCCGGCCAGTGGAGTGCGGTACAAACGGAGCATGCTTGAGTTGACCAATCACAGCCGCCTGGAAGGTAGCCGTGGCACTTTTTAAAAACACCCGCCTATGTTGAACCCGGGGGATGGATGCAAATTGCCCACCATCATCCCAGAACCGTAGACTCGCGTCGCCTCTCGAGGATTGGACCGGAAAACGAACTTTTTTCCTCGTCTGTAGCCGCTTCCATCTTCTATCGGGACCACAGCCTAGCCTCCGCCTGCCCCCCCCCCCCCCCCCCGCCGCCGCCCCTCACGGGGTCCCAGAGATCGAGATCACCGATAGCCCTTAGGAAGCGTGATCTTCTTTTTAGCCGCACTGAGACTGACGGAATGTTTTCATTGGCCGGCCGGTAAGCGCGGGCGATGCCAACGACACACACACCCTCGCCGGGTCCCAGAACCATGGCCTTTAGGAACACCAGCAGCACTGAGACTGAACGTATTGGCACTGGTCAGCTGAATAGCGCCGTCGGCGAGTCGACAAAAAAAAAAAAAAAAACTCACCTCCTCCCCGAGCTCGAAGCGGGCCTGAGAAAGCTCGATCCCGTACACCCGTGTCAAGTTCGGGAACTGCAAGAACACCTGCATCGCCACCTTGCCGGTGCCCATGCCCAGGTCGTAGATGGTGCTAGCCTTCGCGGCGTTGAGGTGTCTCGGACCCATGGCCTTGTTGACACCCCTGGGGAGAAGCTCGCCGTACAGCAGAGATCCCTGTAGAGTGTCGACCATCGCATCATCCCGGTGAGACAAAAAAAAGCCGAACACCCAAGTGTGTCATCATATCGCAACACTATTCTATTCTATTCTATTCTATTCTGTATCCCGGACTCTTACCTGTGGAAGACATTACAAGAAAACAAAGAAAAAAACACACACACACACAATTCGAGCGGAAAGAACAACGAGGGCGGGCGAGACGTGGCTCGGAATGTCCTGCTAGAGCGTCCGTGCGCGTCAACCAGGTTGCCCACCGGTAGCCTTCGGAGGGTTTTTCTACGACGTAAACATGTTGGATAAAGCATTCAATCGGGGGAAGTTGGGTTAGGGTTAGGGCTAGGGTCCGCGTACCCCCTCCCAGCTCTATTTCCTCACTAACTTAGTTTCTCGGGAAGGCGGTCCTTGTAGGCTTTTTTTTTTGGGGGGGGGGGGAGGGGCAATCAGGCAATCACGGCGCCCCTGGGCGAGCTGTGCAGTACTGTACGCCGCCGGTGTCAGGCAGGTCCATGCATTGCCTGCCGTGGCCTTCAACACTCCTGCAGCAACCAACCACGCTATGTACCTCCAACAAATAGGCCCACTATGTAGCTTGTGACCACGGCTGCCTGAAAACAAAATGCACCCGGTTCTTTCGACCACGCTGCCGGCAAACAAACCCCAGCTAGCTTTTGACCACGCTGCCTGCATCCAAACCTCGCCTATGACCCAACTGCCTCCACCTAGCTTTTGACCCCCGCTGCCTGTAACGACAAACCGCTTTGTGACCGCAAATAACCCCCACCGCCGCGTGTGACCACGCTTTCTGTGAAACCAAACCTCGCGCGTGGACACGCTTCCCCGCAAAACCAAACCTCGCTATCGTGACTCACCTTGACCTCTCTAGCCGCAACCTTATCCCTGTCGGTGACACACGTGTGCCCCACCGTCTTGTGGCCCGTCTCCTGGACGCGGCAGCCGTAGGCCCGGTGCAGCAGCGACAACGCCATGCAGAACTCCGGCGAAATGTCCTCGTGGTAGTGCCACTTCTGCTTCGTACAAAAAAAAAAATGAGGCTCAATCGTATGTGCGGCGGGTGAGAGACCAACGTGCGGTATATTCGTCGCCAATACACGCAGTGCCGGCCCGCTCGCAAAAAATACTATGTTCTGAAGAAACCGACGTTCATATTTTGGACAAATATAAAACAAACGTGCCCCAAGCAATTGAGCATAGCAGCCGGCGCTACATTATCTTCTATACATAAGCCTTTGCTCAGTGGTGGAGACAAAACAAGGTTAGAGCCTCGCTAAAAATAGATGGTTCATATTTAGTGGGCCGGCATTGCTGCAAGGCTGACGAAAAAAGAGCCTGACATTTTCTCGCCGAGCAATGAACTGGAACGGAGACAGGGGTGGGGCACGAAAGCAGTAACGATGGTGATGCGACGATCATCACCATGGCCAGATTTCGCGGAAAACGACGGTCAGTGGGTCACCGGGGTGAACGTTGCGAGAATCCCTCCAGCTGAAAAAAAAAACAAAAATCAAACTTCACCCTCCCCAGAGACAAGCGACAATTCAACACTATGCATGAGCAGATGCCGCTAAACATGTTCCCGCAAGCGTCACTCGCGAAGACTTCAGCGGAAGGACATTCAGCACACCCTATTTTAAGCCCGGAAACTTGGAGCCCAGCCACAACAGTCCCGTCAGGGATCCATCAGGGAGTCCTTCAACCTTTCTTGAGCACCACACGCACTCACCTCGGAGACCGCCTTCCGGAGGGTGTTTAGTATTACTGTAATCTACTTCCAAGTTGAAATAGAGGACAAGGGTTCGTATCTCTAACCCTAACGCTAATCCCAGCCTGTATCCCGTTCTAAGACCACACTCATTTTCCTGGCGAAGGGTCCCAGTACTCAACTGGCAAGTCTATGCAGAATTTTCAAAGCAATCAAAACAAACTGGATAAAGAATAGAATCGGGTTGGGGTGTCGGGGTTAGGGCGAGGGAAAGGGTCTGCATGCCCCCCGCCTGGTACAAGTTTGTACAAAGTAAACTAATTTCTATGCGTAGGCAGTCCACTGCTCACCTCTATAGGTGCTACTGTAGTACAATTTCCTACATCCTACATAGTAGATATATTTTCTTTTGCGTAGGCAGTCCATTGCTCACCTCTATCGGTGCTAGTCCCTCCGTAGGGTCTGGCTCCATCTCCTTGACCTCGCCGCCCGTGGGCTGAGCGCGCTCGACGATGTAGAAGGCCGTCTTGAGCATGTTGACCCAGCGCTTCTCCCCCGATCTCCGGTACTCGACGCAGTGCTTGCCCGACTTGTGGTACTGCCGGGAACAGAACGGGCGCGGAGACAAGAACCGTCAAAGTCGGGTCAACGCTCAGTTCCGTACTTATCATTGCCACTGTCTCCTGTCGGGCACAGGTTGTAAGTATGTTGTTGTTGTTGTTGTTGTTGTTGTTGTTGTTGTTGTTGTTGTTGTCTTCACATTAAAAACTGTTCCGTTCTCTCTACCCAGTACCTTCTTCTGTCCGTACTAGTCGAACACTTGACGGGGTCCATTCCCGTGGTCACAGGCTAACTGTTGTTTTAAACCAGAGTACGCCGCATTTCTTAACCCTATTCTTAGTTCTGGTAAAAACTTGAGCCTCTGTTCCTTACAGCGAAATACTACTCAACCAAGGGACCGTTCTGTGCACGCAGACACGAGAGGGTGGGAGGCATCGTTTCAGTGCTGCTCGGAAAACCGCAGACACTGGTACTAGTTCTCGGCTAACGCTATGGGTTCATTGCCGGTTTAATCCTGGGCTCTCATCTATGGATAGAGATGGAACAGTCAGAAAAATGACGAGAAGGGGGGGCAGAAAGGCCGGAATCGGCCAACACATCCTTCCGCATCAGGCAACACGGGCATACCGTACAAATACCGTATGAGGCGGCCAACACATCCTCCGCATCAGGCGGCACGGGCGTACCGTATACCGTAAGAGGCGGCCAACACATCCTTCCGCATCGGGCGGCACGGGCATGCCGCACAAATACGTAAGAGGCGGCCAACACATCCTTCTCATCAGGCGGCACGGGCAAGAGGCGGCCAACACATGCTTCGCATCAGGCGGCACGGGCATACCGTACAACTACAGTAAGAGGCGGCCAACGCATGCTTCGCATCAGGCGGCATGGGCATACCGTACAAAGACCGAATGAGGCGGAGAGGTGGCACCCCCCGTAGATCTCGACTTTCAAAGCTCGATTGGTCCGCAACCAACGGGGGTACGGGAAGAGCATTCTGCGGAAAGCCCCTCGACGACATGCTTCCAAAACCACCCTCTTGGGTGTTGGCACAAGCTTGCCGTATGTGACACAAGGTACCACACCCCCTTGGCCGATCTTCAAGGCTCGATTACTCCATGACGAACAAGATGCAGACATGAACCGATACACTGCTGTACGTTTCCGGAAAGCTCTCCACCAAGACGGCTTCAACGCCGCCATTTTCGGCGCTGCCACCCGTTCTGTTGTGGAGAAATCGACCTTTGACAACCGGTGAAGGGTGTGTGGTATCTTGTGTCACCCACGGTGGTTGTGGAGCAATCAAGTCTTGACAATCGGTCTAGGTGCCATCTCTCCACCTCTTACGGTACACGTACATGAGCAGGCGAAGGCTGCTGCGCCACGTGCCGGCAGGAGGACAACCGCAAAACTCCGTCTCAAACGCTGCAGAATTTTCGAAAAGGTCAGCAAAGCATCGCTTTCCATGGGTCGAGCTGCAAGGGTCTGCACCTAGAAATCGATACAACTTCTGTAAGTCATAATGCTACCACTTTTTAAGTATGGAATAAAAAAGAGCGCGCCAGCGAAAACACGGGTGCCAAGCAGGTCATGCGCTGCATCGGAGAGCTGCCTTTAACATTTCATCTTGCTTTTGACGGGGGAAACTCTGCGGCATCGCATCTGAATCGAGGCCGTTTATTCTGCTGCTCCACGCGACGATTGCTGTTGTTGGGAGGAAACTTAAACTTTCACGCAGGGTCTCAACGACAATTATTCCCACTTCCGGCCGACGGACGCTCCACGGAGACAACAGCAAATACTCATACTCCAGACAACAACATCACACAACGATTGCATGATAGGCACGATTTTTGGATCGCCACTACCATACAGTGATCGAATGCTGTAAGTTGGTATTCGAGAGTCGAAGTCCAAACTCCGGTAGCTGGCAACGGGCCTCCAGCACGGTCATGAGCCTACCTCTCAAAAACATTAATGAATGAAAATCCCGGCCATGGGAGGAAGCAAAGGGGTCTAGTCGCCACGGGCCTGAGAAGGAATGTGTACCAAATTCTGACAAGGATCGGGGTGTGCACGTGCGCAGCACATACCAGACGACGACATGCGTGATGATGGGTCAAACCTTCAGCGACAGGTACAATGTATATAGGTGTCGAGCACAGCATTGCCGGCTCGCTCGCAAGAAATACCGAGGCTCAGATTTGAGACAAACTGAGGAAAAATGGGGCAAGAAATTGAGCACAGCGGCCGGCGCTACATAAATTCCGATATATTCATATGTAGAACCCCTTTTCTCAATGGTGGGGACAAAAAAAAAAAGGTTTGAGCCTCGCCAAAAAAAATGGTACGTGTTTCTTACTCCGTATATTGTACGGGCCGGCACCGCCAGCTGGACAGCTCCGAAAAACTCCCAAACGTTTTCTTGGTGGTGATTTTGATTCCAGGATGTCAGGTGTTTTGCCTGTTGTACAGGTATATATACCTGTATGGGGAGCAACGCGTGCGATCAATACACTGCAGGGACACAAAGCTGCTCGTCAAAACAAACCTAAAACCCCGGAATGCAAGAGAGAACACCGGGGGGCGGGACCGCCGTGCGTCGTTCTCGTCGACACTAAAAAAAAAAAAAAGCTCTTTGTTGCGGGGGTGAGGGTGGAGAGAGAGAGCGGCGGTGCTACTTCGGATAATCTCTCTTCCTTTGCCTCGTCCCAAGGCAGGTCCGACTCGGAAGCTAGCCACCGTCCGTTCCGTGGATCTCCCGCCTACATCAAATAACACCATGCACTAAACGACGTCACCAAAGCCCTCAACCTATCTCTCGCCGCTTACGATAGCGCGGGACGTTATGTCGGAGGTCGGAAATAAAACGCCCTGCAGGATTTTACGCCTTCATGTCCGGAGTACAGACTGCATAGTTGCCTGCTGCCCTTGTAGTATGTAGCTTTGCGAACTCTTGATTCCTTGCAATGACGGTAGCACCCGTCACCACCAACAAGACACCGTGGCAAGTGTGTGCCGACGGTCATCGAGAAAACGTGGACAGCATCACGGGAGATCCATACCTTACATCTACCCGTCGTATGCATGCAAATCGTGGTACCGCAGTTTTCAGGGCATCCAAGAAACGAGTCGAAATAACAGAGCGTTGCTGGAAGTCAAGGGCTCCGCAATGCATCGCTCGCTTAGTAGATACAAGGGCGCTGCTGGGCCGGAGGAGCGCGGGGTGGGGCGTCGTAGGAACCGCCTTACCAATGCTGTTCCCGACAACAAACTACAAGTAATTGTTTGAAGCCAAGGTGATGTACGTAGTGGTTTGTTCACAGTACCTGGGTCACAAGGCCTTCGTGCCACTCCCGGTTGTCCACCAAGCAGCTGACCCGGCTGCCGATCAGGCCCTGGTTCGACCAGGCCGTCTTCCTGACCATGTGCAGCTGCAGCTCCTTCACGCTGTGGAAGGCCAGGCCGCACTCGTAGCACAGGAAGCCGCACGCTGCCTTGTTTGGCCCGCTATGACCAGCAGCAGCATGCACAGCGTCAATGCGGGTTGATGATCCTCCTGATGATGCTGATGAATCGCCCGACCCCCTCTTTCCTAGGAGGACGCGGTGAGATGTCCCGCTCGTCCCCGCCGTCGCACTACTGCTACCCCCCATCCCCTCTCGATGCCGGTGGTGGAGGATCCCACCACCGTCGCAGCCTTCGCCGAGGTTGGCGTGCCGCGAGGCGCCGTTGAACACGCTGCTGCTGCTTCTCGTCATGGGTCTGTTGCTGGCGTCGTGGCATGGCGCAGTGGTTTCGGCTTTCTCCGCACCATCATCATTGTCTGCGCCGCGGCCGGCTACACCCGCTTTGGTTGGAAAAGGGCCGTCCAGCCACTCCACGTCAACGTCGCTGTTCCCTTCTGGAGGCTCCATGTCGCGGCGAAGGTGGCTCCCTAGCTGCTGCTGCTGCTGACCCACGCGCTCCCCTCTCGACTAGACAAAATATGACACACACAGCTGCTGCTGCCTAAGCTGCACGGGATATATGGTAGCAGAAAGGAACTCTCTCCAAAATTTACCTCTGTCCCTCCCACCCAACGTTTGCACCGCTGAAGAGGCGCAGCTTTGAAGGAGAGGATCTACGAGGAGTCCCTCAGAGTTTCCCGGGATCCTCTCTTCTCTGACGGCAGTCACCTCCACTACCGTCTCCTGCACCCAAACAGCGGTTTATCAGCAAGTACGACAGCAGCTTCTTCTCGTCTGCCGACCCGCGGGAAGCTGGAAGCCCGCGGTGTGAAATGTCTTCTTTTTTTTTTTCTGTGACACGGAGGCCTGAAATTATAAGTAGGGGGGGCCGGGGACGCGTGCGCTTGCGTGGTGTGTGGTGGTCCTTGCGTGGTCAACTCAACTTTGCAAGGGTCCTCCCATGTGGAAACCGTGGAACACCCCCCACACACACTCACACACCCCGGGCCAAGATTGACACGCAATATAGGGGGTTAGGCGGCACGCTTGCAGCAGTCTATTGTATAGGATTTAGTGTTTCCGTTATAATAGTAAAACCAATACTCTTCATTGAAAGACTTTCGTGCCGCATTCTAAAACCCATAAAATTCTCTTCATTTGTAGGTTTTTGTGTCGTCGTACTATTTCCTACACCATACACTAGACCTCGCGACCAAGATTGACACGTATTCTCGGGGTGTTTCCATAATTTCCACTAGCTCTGTGTGGATCCCGCGCGCGCAGCGAAGAGCGTGGAAACCCCGGGGATTTGGTCAAAATGTCCCCTCCGACAACATGTAAGGCCTATCCCCCCCCCCCGCGACCAAGATTGACACGTAGTCTAGGGGTGTTCCAATGTTTCCACATGGAGGGACCCTTGAACTTTGAACTTTGAACTTGCTTGGAACTTGCTTGGCGTACTAGTCCTTGTTGTGCTGACTGGGTGCGGTGTCTAGCTAGTGTGACATAGTTTGATGTTGTGCGACCGTATTTTGCTGAGTGCCCTCCAATTGTCATCGTCGGCATTTTAGGAGTACCTAACCCTCCAGTCAGCCACCAGGTGTCATCTCGTCGATCGTCTACGTAGGAGTACATAACAATTGTGTGACGAATGGGCTACTACTACGTAGCCACATCGCACCACACGCGACACACTTCATGAAAACGGAAGGCCCACTAGTACGAAAAAACTTTCCACGACAGCAAATGTAATTGGCCCTGAACTTTCCGAAAAAAAATCGCAATAATTGGGGCCACGAAACCCAGCTCATCCCGGAGGTATGCATAGGTGTTGGCTCTACTGATGATGTACCTATCCACGACGACAGCGACGATACCGACTGAGGTTCCGACCTGAACGTGGAGGGCCTTTCATCCGGCTACAAAAATACTTGAGAAAGGTCCCTTTGTTTCCAGCATTCAATGCAATCGGGTCCATACTACTCTGTCTCCATGATTTCCACCAAACAAATCACATGTAATTTACCCCTTTCTCGTTAGAAGGTACTGAGTGGAGACCGGAACGGTTTATGTGAACACAACAACAAAAAGCAACAGGAGACACAAAACACTGGAGGATCAGCACGGGCGGCGGGCTCAGCCGGAGTATGCTGTGTACCCAAACTTAAACCCTCTGTGAAATCTCGATTGACGTGTGGCCGGATCAATGCCAAAACCAGGACGAGGTCAACAGCAACAGAGGATGCGCGAATTGTCAACGCCGATCGTCGTCAAGTTCATGATATCATCAACCAGAGGCTTCTTTCATGCTTCGCAGCATGACCCATATCGGCAACCCATACTATATTCGCCGGGCAACAGACATCGACGACGACACATTCACATGGGGCACTTGGCCCTACAATGGCATACCTGCTGCCCATGGGTCGCCAGTCCTTTTGTTTCTACAGCGGTGGTAAACCGGGGGGGGGGGGGGGGGGGGGGGGGGGAGGGCGTACTCTTATGTTTTGCATGCCTTAGCGGTTAGACCATTGACCCCGGGTCCTCTCGGGAGAGGACGGAGCATTGTTCCCACAGGACCGATCCCCGATGGCCAATGGTGGGGGGGGGGGGGCATTTCGTCAGTGTTTTTTCGGTTGTGATAAGTAACCCGGGGTTGGACTGCCGCTGTTGGTGATTTTCAGGGTCGACCCGAAGCACACTGAAGTTTTATCCATGTTCCTTTCTGCTCTTTATATCGTTCCCCGTGTGCGTGCGTCCATGTCCTCACGCGAAATTCCCGCAATTACCCTCGGCCCCATCTCGAGGAACACCAGCCCCACCCGCCCAAGCCCTCCCGTTTTCTTCGCTACATCTACAAGTACACACCTTACCCATCTTCTCTTTCTTGTCCCTCCCGCCGGGTTTCGTTTCCTTTTTTAAACTACAGTCGTGGTTCCGGCTCAGCAGTTCCTTCCCTGTTTAGCGGGATGCCCTGAATAGCGGTCCCAAAATCTCGTGGCACAGTCTCGGTAGTCAAACTACTGTACAATGTAACTGCCAATCCGGTGTAGCGGCGATGCCCTCAATAGCGGTTACAACATTCTGTGACGCCGCTAAACCGGGACCACGACTGTACTACAGTACTCACCCTCCGGTCGATCTTGAGGAACACCAGGCAGACCTCGGTCGGAAGGTTCGCGTAAGCCCTCCCGGCGAGCAGCAGCTGCCCGGCCTCCGCGGCGGGCAACTCCCCCGGCAAGGCGCGGCGCCGGGCCCAGACGTCCGGCAGCGTGTCCACCTCTTCCAGGTAGATGTGGTACTGGGGGCGATCTCCTAGAGCCTGGGAGAGACGGGGGGTGGGTACGTACGTGGGTCAGTCAGTTCCGAGAGGCAGGGGGATACGT